CTGCTCGAGCTTCATGAGGGTCTCGCCCACCTCGTCCAGCAGCGCCGCGGTCGTCATCACCTGCACGTTCCCCGTGTTGGCCACGCACTGCAGCGTCACTGGGGCGTTCCCTTTCTTGGCAGGGCCCCCTGCCAGGATGGCCTTGGCTGGCACCTTCACCTTGACCCTGGCCTGTGCCACCGCGGACGAGGACTCCTCCAGGTAGACGTCCGTGAGCCAAAGCATGAACGCCCTGGCCTGGTCGTCGCGCCCCTGCACCTCGCGCTTCACCATTGCCCAATCCGGGAGTCGGATCAAGGGCACCTGCAGCTGGCACGGCTGGCACGAGCAGCTTTCTCAGCTTGAGCCCCTGCCAGAGTGACGGATTCATTTGCCAGCTGGTGTGCCGACGCTCTCAGACAAGCACGCAGCAGATCTGCAGCCTCCGCCTGATGTTTAGTCAACGCATCTCCTAACAGAAGCTCCGTTTGGCCCCAGCGAAGCGTGGCTCCTCACCTCCTGAGGCTCCCCTTGGCTATGGCGATCTTCATGGATGCCTTCTTGTCGTCGAGTCCTGTTTGGGCCCCAGGCTTAGTCACATGGTCGAACACTGACTTGCAATATACCACACTAACAGCCGAGAATTTCTTCTCATACTTGTCCCGATTCTCGAGACAGAACATGGGGTACAGGATGGCCGCGAAATTGCACATGATCCACTCGAGATGGCCCAAAGAGGCCTTGAGTAGCTTGCCCTCCCTCGCCAGTGTAGGCGTACAACCCTGCCTTATCTTCTGAGACTTCCAAGCTAGAGGGCACCAGGGAGCCGAAAAAACTTCTGCCATGGAGGGTTCCGTTGCACCTATGATGTGCCCGCCGTGTGTCCTACCAGTCCCGTCCAGGTCCTTGAACGAGCATCCCGAATGGCAAACTAAACGAAGACGTTCTGACGAGATGCTCAGGTAGTCGAAATCTGATTGTGCAGTCGGAGTTGGGTAGTCGAAATACAATTGTGCACATCGAGCGGCTGGGCCGCATAATTGGGTCGAGCCGGCCTGGTTTTGGTTGGGCGATGGAGCAGTCAGTTTGCTGGGTGAGTGCCGATCCCGTGAATTCTCCACTGCCCGTCACCTATGTCCGAAGAGGGAACCTTGCTCTCAGCTTTTCCATCGCACTTGTCCACAGCTGCCCGCGGCCGCCGTGGACCTGGTGATCAGCATGGTCTCCAGGGATGCCGCTCAGCGCACCCAGCTCACCGCGGAGCTGCGCACTCTCAGGCCCCGCGGCGTACGGGGTCACCGAGAATGGGCCCCTCGCCACGAGGTGAGCGCTCTCCTTCACCACAAGCACCCTCAGCAACAACACGCACGGGTCCATCGGCTGCTGGTCGAAATGCAGCTCCTCCACCATGAACCGCTCGAACGTGCGCCACCATTGCTGCGGCTGGTCCCCCAGCCCGTATCCGTTGATCACCTCGAAGAGCTTCTCTGGGTGGTGATCCTTCAGCGTGTAGTTCTTCGGCATCGTCACGTAGATCGGAGCGTACGGTCTCTCCGCCAGCTCTGCTGCCAAGAATGCCGACTTCACGTCGCCGATCGCCATCTCGACAATGACTGATGCCAACGTCTGCAGCAGCATCGCGCGCCCATTTGTGGACATGGGTGGGCTCGCCGTCCGCCCCTCGCGCACAAGGTCCAGGATGTCTGGGTCCCTGAAGCCCTGCAGCGTGCACCGGCACTTGACCTCGTCCTCGCAGTTGTCGCCGGTCAAGAGCGGCGGAATCGGCCGGCTCGGGGGGCACGCAGGACATGCCTTGGCCGCTGCTCTGCATGCATACGTCCTTCTGCTCTTCCAGTCTTGGGCGCTTGACCTCCTGCTGGAGGGGGAGGAGGAAGAGGAAGAAGAGGAGGAGGAGGAGGAGAGGACGAGGAGGAGGAGAGGGAGGAGGAAGGCGGAGGAGGAGGAGGGAGGAGGAGGAGGGAGGAGGGAGGAGGGGAGGAGGAGGAAGGAGGAAGGAGGGAGGGAGGGACAGGGAGGGAGGGAGGGAGGGAGGAAGGGAGGGAGGGAGGAGGGAGCGAGGAATAGGAGGAGGAGGGGAGGAGGGAGGAGGGAGGGGAGGAGGAGGAGGAGGAGGAGGACGAGGAGGCCTGGCTCATCTGGCCGCCCTCCGGGCTCGTTGCGCCTCTTTCCAGCGCTCGCTATTGTCACGCCCCTGCTCGCCACGCGGGCGCCTCCGCCCGTCGGGATGGAGGGCCTCCCCCTCCCCCTACCCTCCCACTCCTCCTGCTCCTCCTCCTCCTCTTCCTCCTCCTTCTCCTCCTTCTCCTTCCTCAACATCACCAGCTCCTTCTTGATCTCCGTCCTCCTGAGCCTCGGCTGGCGTCTCGGGAGCTGCCGGACCTGGAGGAGCCTGCTCTGCTGCTTCAGGTGGCCGCTCTCCACTGGTGATGTCCTCGACCTTTGGCAGCTATAGTGCTCCAGGTCCACCATCTTGGTCCTCAGCTCCGCCTCCACCATGCGCTACGCATGTCGTTCCTCTCGCACTGCAAGTCTCACTTGCTCGGGCGACGCCTTCACCACCGCACATGGTAGCGCCACCCACTAGTTGCCCCGCACCTCGCCCATGCTGATACCTGGCCTCCATCTGTGATGAGCGCGCTGACCTGGGAGACCCTCATCCTTCATCATGCGCCACACCGCTACCATGTCGCCGGGCAGGTTCTTGGCCACGAGTCTCGACAGAGAGTCCAGTGCCCGTCGCGCCGTCAGCTTCTCCTATTGCAGGAGCACCTTTAGGCGTGCGGCGGTCCTGATCCGCGCCTGCTGCGCCACGACCGGGTCATTCACGATCGCGCTGTTGGTGATCACGTGCAGGTTGTCCTTCAGCAAGTCACCTGGCACCTCTGTGCTGCGACCGAAAACCATCAGCATAGGGGACACACCGGCTACCGAGAGGAGGCTGTTCTTGGCCAGCATCAGCTCCGTCACGCACTCGCGCCACTCGGTCTCTGTCTGGGTCTGCGCCTTCCGAGTGACGTTATCCAGCATCATCTCGAACTGCTCTGGTTGTGGTGCTCGATCTTGCCGTTGTGCTTCTTCGAGCCGCTTGCCATGTCCACCACCTCGATGTCCTGGCGCTCGCACCAGTTGAGGAACTCGTCGATCACCTGGGCCCTATGAGGGTCCACCTTCAGCCACATTGGTCTCATGTACGGGCGAACCCACGCCTACCCGAACGTCTCCGTGAGGTTCTTCGAGGTCTTCGGCATGCCGATCATCGGCTCCATCTGACGCAGTGCGCTCGTCTCGTCGATTCTGCCCAGGCGCGTGATCCGCTCCCCTAGATTCTAGCTAGGTATCTCCGTGCAGTCCATGCTCACGAACTTCAGCGGAAGGAGGCAGTTCTGGATTGAACTATGAGGCCGACGACAGACATCCCGCGTCTCGCCCGCGTCCTCCTCAATCACCTCAGGTTCCACCCCCTGCACCGCACAGCACCCAGCTTCACCGCAAAAAAAAACACCCAGCTTCACTGCTGAACGCCTCCACCTGGCACTGACGACGCACGCCGCGCACGACAGCCTCCACCGGCCTCCGGGGATACCGCTCACTAAACACCGTGCGCTTGACCCCGCACCGCAGCATGCCCTCCGCGTGCTGATGCTCATGTCCACCACCGCATCTCCTGTGAGCCGCTCTCGCCACCTCAGGCGCGGATGCCACGAACTCCCAGCTCTTGGGCACCAGTTTGAGAGTGCCTGGGCACCTCAGGCCGAACTCGCAGCCGCTCGCGACGCCTGCGTACAGACATTTCATCTCCAGCAGCTGCCTCATCACGGGCACCATGAGACTCGTGCACGTGTGCTTGCCAAGCTCCATCTGGTAGATCGCCACCTCCACGACCACGTGCACCAGACTCACGGCGCACCTCACGTCCTCGAAGTGCTGCGCTACCGCCGTTTGCGAAATAAACGCCCACGTGTGGAAGTACCGAGATCCCCGCCCCGCGCCCCGCATTTCAATGTTGGCCACCGAACACGCCGAAGGGGAGCGCGAAGCGTTGCGAAATAAACGCCCACTTATGTTGGACTGCCCAGCCCTCCCCGTCAACCTTGAAATACGGGGGACAGGGGGCGTGCTTCGTCGTCTTGTTTTCGATCCCTAAGATGGGCGTTTATTTCGCAAACGGCGGTGCCCCCCACGAGCGTCTTATAGTGATACAACGCTGTACATTCACACACAAATATATGTATATTCCCATATTTATATGTTGTATGTGTATATATATATATATATATATATATATATACACGTGTATATATAAGTGTGTATGTACACCCTATTTGCACATCCATATGCCTTTCCCCTATGTGTGCATACACCCATGCATACACGTACGTGCATGCATGCGTTCACGCCGCCACGCAATCCGAGGCTATTCACGCGACGCTACCCGTGCGGAATCGTCCGGTGGCGACACAACGCTGATGACCCCCCTTACTCTCCCCTGCAGCTTCCGCCCCCTCTGCCCTGTCTACCTCGTCTCGCACTTCTACCCCTTCGAGGCGTCATTTCCGCGCAAAGACGATGGATGCGCTGCCGGGTGCCGCGCGCGCGCGCGCGTAACCCCACTGGGCGGCGCCAGCGGCGCCCGCGCGCGCGTGCTCACGGGAGTGCAAAAGCTGACAGGCGGGCGCTCGCAAATCAAGTGGACTTGGCCAGCGGTGCCCGCGCGCGCGTGCTTCCGGAAGCGCAGAAGCTGAGAGGCGGGCGTGCGCAACCCAACTGGACTTCGCCAGCGGTAACCGCACGCGCGCCCTCGCGAGCATGCAAAAGACGTGGGGCGGAGCGCTGGGGGGAAGCCCCCGGCGCTGCCCGCGCGCTCCCTCAGGGCGAAACCGGAGAGCCGATTTGCCCAAGAAGTCTGCGCTTCTGGAGCGGGAGCAGCAAGGCCCACGAATTCAGACGGACCCAGTCCGCGGGGAGCACCTCGTCCACGGCAACCGCACCCATCGCGCGGACATCCGCCAGCAAGGCGTCTGCCTGCGCGCGGGGTATGCGCGCGTCGGACATGAGGTCGTCGAAGCCGCTCACAGGCGGCACGCCCGCGTCTGCCCCGACCGGCGCAGCGGGCGCCGGGCGGAAAACGCCGACGGCCTCGAACTTTGCCGCCTCCCGGACGATCCACGCGGTCATGCACGGAGCACACGAGAGTACGTCCTGCAAAGAGCCGTCCGACAAGACGGAGGTGAATGGGAACTGCCTCGCGCGGTTCTGCATGTGCCGGATGTCCTCCGCACCCACCTTATTCGTCGTCTCCCAGAGGCCCTCCAGCTTGCCCGTGAAAACGGCGCCGTGGTTCCAGCAGGCGTCCTTGTTCCCGTCGTTGAAGGACTGGGAAACCTGGATCTCGGTGTGCTGGCCGACGAACAGAGACAGGAACAAAGAGACGGGGACGGTCTTCTCGTGGGCGAACTCACCCGGCCGGAAGTCGTCCCAGAAGATGAACCGCTTCGTGCCGCTGGCCAGGTTCCGGAGTCCAAAAGGGGAGCCCAAGGCAGGCCTGTGCAGAACCCGTTTCGGAGTGAACAAGTCGTCGAAAGGGTAAACTACCGTGCTCTTCCCGGAATTCGACGGCCCCACCAGGAAGGGCACCCTCGTCGTCATCTTCGGGCCGACCATCAGAATGTCCCGCAGAGACGCCGCGAGCTCCCGAACGTCGAAAGAAGCGGCGCTGCGGGAGAAGATGGTCTCCACGGCTGACCTGTACGAGCACGCCGGGCCATGGGGACATGTCTCCTCAGCGCAGCGGCACACGAGCGTCCAAACGTCCACCGCCTCGAAGGCCGCGTTCTCGCGGGCAGACGCCCACTCCTTCGTCTCCTCAAGGTCCGCCGTCAGCTTGCGCACTCGGCTGCGGACGAACCGCTGCATGGTCTTCGTCCCGCGGTCCTGGACGCGCGCCATCAGACGCGCGGGCAACGCGTTGCACGATGTTCTGGACACACGTGCAAACGACATGAAGCCGCAATGATACGCAGGCTGTGTCCCGCGCGGGCCTGCACTAAGGCAAACGCGCGTAAAGCGCAGGAGTCGCGAGCACCGCAGGGCCCTCGCCATGGGCAGCCGAGCACCTCCCGAAAGGCAGGCACGGCTACGATTTTCAAGTCTACGGATCCACGACACGTTTTTCGGTGCATGCGCTGCGGCAGGAATTCTGAAATCTCTCGGCGGTCACTGAGGAAAAATCCGCTCTGGCAGAGGCCGAGCCGCCGATTCGGCTGGCTCCCCGGCCGCGGCTGGAAAAATTGCGTCGTGGCAAAGACCGTGCCGCCGACTCGGCTGATCAGCGCCAACGATCCCGGGCCGCAGGCTCAATCGCTCGGGATCCTGCCTCCCTCGGCGACGACGACCTCTGCCGCCTTCGTCTTCATCTTAGCCACGGCTGCCCTGATGACGCTCTTCGGGATGCCCATGGCGACGCGCCTGAGGCGCGCCTTGTAAGCGCTCTGAGACTCGTTGGCCGGCGCGCTCTGCTCTGCCATTCGCCGGTTGACCTCCGCCCAGAGGAAATAGTCGAGGGGGTTCAAGTCCGGGGAATACTTGGGGAACTTGATGGGGGTGATCTTGAGACCCCGCCTGAGAGCGACCGAGCGGGGTCGACCGAGGCGCGAGCGGCGGGCGATCAAGAGCGGGCGCCGAGTGGCGGGGCGATCGCCAGACGGGGCCCGACTCGAACTCGCGGCCGCCGCGGTGGCGCGCCAACTAAGGGGGCCGCTTGCAGTCAACGGCCTTCTTGCTCTTGTACCCCGCGGGGTCGTTATCCCCCAGGATGCGGAAGGCGCGGCGCCCCTTCCGGCAACGGCGAAGCGCGGGAGCGAGGACGCCCGCGTAGAAATCGCAGGCTGCGTCGGCGCACCACAGGGTGGGCAGGTAGTGCCAGACGCGGACCTTGTTGTTCACGATGGCTGCGGCCACGTGAACCTTGGCGCCTGGGTTCACCCTGTTCTGGTTCCCCTTCGGCTTCGTGAAAGGCTTGAGGACCTCGGGGGAGGGCCCGGCCAGCCGGCCCCCCGCCCGGCCCCCCCCCCCGCCCCTCGCATCCGAAAGAAACTACGCCAATAAAAACCCTCATACCAGAAAGAAACGACGCCAAGAAAAACATGTCCGATCACCTGGACGGGGCCGATCAGACCCGATCAGACTTGGATCGCAGACATGGATCGGGGCAACGATCGGGGGCGGAATCGGCATCTCGACTTCAGCGGCCCGGCGGCCCCCGCCCCCAGCCCCTGGGATCGCACTCGGGACCGAGAGTCGCGCCCCCTCTGCCTTGGTGCGAAGGTGGCCGCGAACGCGACTCTTCTTTGCGTGCGTCTTCGCCCGCTTGGTCATGGGGATGGAGAACACCTTATTGTCGATGATGGCATCGACCTGGTGCGTGAAATAGTTGCCCGGGAGCCGCTTCCACCCCGAACACGCGGCCGCGCGCTCCTCCGCCTCAGCGGAGCCGCGGAGCGGCTCCGCGCGGGGAGCGCGCCAGGTGACCCCGAGGCGCTAGAAGTGCCTGGAGGCCGTGCCCTTGTGGACGTCGGAGACCCGCGCGGCCTTCATCACGTCCTTGAGGTGAACCTCGGCCTCGCCCTTGGCCGCCCGAATCAAACGAACCCGCGCGTTGTTCAAGGCGCGGAGCTTGACGGCCGTGAGCTTGGGCTTGCGGCCGCGAGTCTCCGCTGGGCCACGCCTGTGCGTGGCGCCCCGGAGGGCCCGGCGGACGGTCGTCAAATCCGACTCGCCTACACATGTGCTTGCCGCCAGCTGGAGCTCTTAGGGACCTGGGCGTCAAAGCTGTGTCCGTCACTGGGAGTTTGTCCTCTCTGGGCCATATTGCGTCCTCTCAAGGCCGGGTTGAGCTGTTGAGGCCGTCTTGGGGCGTTTGAGGGGCTTTGGCCGTCTTGGGTTCTCTCCTGGGGCCCTCTCGGGGCTCTTGGGGGGCATCTGGGCCCCAGCGGCGTAGAGCGAGAAGCAGCGGTCGAGCTCCCTCTTGCTGAGGTGGGGCGCCATCTGGGCCCGCGACCGAAAAAGGGGTCAGATGGCCTCGGGGCGGGGCGAGGCCGTTGCTGCGGTGACGACTGAGCCGAAACAGCTGCGCCAGGTGAACGGAAGGCTTGTCGATGTGACCGGAGCACGCGGCGGCATTCATAGTCTGGCGTCGCTCTTGACGCCGCCCTCAAGACGGGCGGCTTCGGGCAGCCTCAAAGTCCTTGCAGGGCGCCAACGGGAGAGCGCAACCCGTTGGGCAGCGGGGAGGGGGCCAGTCTTGCAGCGCAACCCATGCAGATGCCCGTAGCCGAAGATGCCATGGCAAATGAGTCCGCCGTTTGCGAAATAAACGCCCACGTGTGGAAGTACCGAGATCCCCGCCCCGCGCCCCGCATTTCAATGTTGGCCACCGAACACGCCGAAGGGGAGTGCGAAGCGTTGCGAAATAAACGCCCACTTATGTTGGACTGCCCAGCCCTCCCCGTCAACCTTGAAATACGGGGGAAAGGGGGCGTGCTTCGTCGTCTTGTTTTCGATCCCTAAGATGGGCGTTTATTTCGCAAACGGCGGTGCCCCCCCACGAGCGTCTCATAGTGACACAGCGCTGTACATTCACACACACATATATATTTTTATGTATATATATATGTGTGTATATTCCCATATTCATATGTTCATTGTATGTGTATATGTATGTATATATACACGTGTATACATAAGTGTGTATGTACACCCTATTTGCACATCCATATGCCTTTCCCCTATGTGTGCATACACCCATGCATACACGTACGTGCATGCATGCATTCACGCCGCCACGCAATCCGAGGCTATTCACGCGACGCTACCCGTGCGGAATCGTCCGGTGGCGACACAACGCTGATGACCCCCCTTACTCTCCCCTGCAGCTTCCGTCCACTCTGCCCTGTCTACCTCGTCTCGCACTTCTACCCCTTCGAGGCGTCATTTCCGCGCAAAGACGATGGATGCGCTGCCGGGTGCCACGCGCGCGCACGCGTAACCCCACTGGGCGGCGCCAGCGGCGCCCGCGCGCGCGTGCTCACGGGAGTGTCAGGTGTTGCGCCCACCAGGAAACAAAACGAGGGCCTCGACAAATTTGTTTTTGCATTTTTTCATGTATTTATTGGTGGCGTCAAACGCGGTCGTCGCCGATCGCTTGCCCTGATTTAGCGATTTCGGTCGACGGAGGCACGCGAATCGCTCGAGTTTCCTTCTCGTAACTGCTTCTGCCGTGTGCCGCGTTTTCATGGCGCACGTGCCGCGCCTTGCCCTTTCAGATTCAATCGCTCGTACTAGTGCGCGGGCCGCGTGCAGGCCGCAGTCCACGCGCGCTTGCGCGGCGCACCGCAGCGCGCTTCGAAACGATGTTGGGCACAATGGCATTTTTAGCGCAACGCCGCGAAATTGTTAGCCACCTCGCGCGGGTGATGCCGAACGCACGCGTGTCCCACCGCATGTGCGCCGCCGGAGCTAATTTTCCGATTTCGGTCGTGAATAGTATCGCGGGCGTGTGTCAGGCGCCTTCGACGCGCCATGTAGGCCCGCGCCGTGCGCGCCCACGCATCATGTCAGAAACATATCATCTTACTACTTCCGCGTAATGCAGCGCGTGCGTTGCAACGCTGTTAGCCAAGGGCGCTGGTGCGTCGCCGAAAACCACAGCCAGGTTCCCTTGGCAGGAGCCACCCTAAGGGGAGCCGCAAATGGTTCTCTCACGGTCCCGTTCGCAGCCGTTTGGTGGGGATATCTCAAGCGGTGTGCTTGTTTTCTGTCCCAGCATCCTTCGCTCTCGGAGTAGATTTGGAGGATGTCTCGAGCGAGGCGCTCCATTTCACCCCCCCAGGTGGGCCAGATTTTGAGGATGTCTCGATCGGTGGCCAGACTCGTGGGCGCTGGTTTTCCTGGGGAAGCCACAGGAGGCTCCAACAGGTTCCAGGAGGCCCCAGGAGACCACATGAGGTCCCAGGATGAATCAGGATGCCACAGAAAGACCCAAGAGGCCACAGGATGCCCCAAGAGGCTCTAGGACGCCCCAGGAAGCTCCTGGAGGCTTCAGGAAGCCACAGGAGGCCCCAGGAGGCCAGAGGAAGCGCCAGGAGGTCTCCGGAGGGCAACAGGAGGCCCCGAGAGGCCCCAGGAGCAGGAGGCCTCAGAAGGCAACAGGGGTGGCTCCAATCCCATGTGTTTTACGTATGCTCTCATATATTGGGCCTCACCTGGGGCACGAATCCTTGATGTTATACGTATGTTCCTATAGATTGTCCATCTCCTGTGTACTTATGTTCCTATAGGGCCTCTCCTAGGGCACGACTCCTTGGTGTTGTACGCGTGTTCCTATAGATTGCCCCTTTTTTCTGCGGCTCCAAGTCGCAATGTTTCATGTGCGACTGTTGCTATAGATTGGGCCTCTCATCGGGCACGAATCCTCCCTAGGAGGTCCCAGGAGGCCCCAGGGGGCCCAAAGAGGTTCCTGGAGGCCCCAAGAAGCCCCAGTAGGTCCCCAGGAGGCCCCAGGAGGCCCCAGGAGGACCCAGGGTCATGCGCAGAGACGCGCTCGTACTACTGAGGCTCATTCACACTCCAATTGATTCTCAGTTAGATTCATGACTAGACCGTCACAACTGAAACCCGTTTATACTCGAAAGTTTTTGCGCCTAGATTCTCACGGCGGACAGGTCCATGGGAATAAATGCGCATATGGGGAGCCCCACGCAGTGAATATTTGAATCCCCTTAGGGGGGTGACAATGAGCGCCTCGCTCGAGACATCCTCCAAATCTGCTCCGGAAGCGAATGATGTTGGGACAACTAACAGGCAAACCCGCTTGAGACATCCCCACAAAACGGCCGCGAACGGGACCGTGAGATAACCCCTCGGCGGCTCCTTAGGGACGTGAAAATGAGCGCCTCGCTCTAGACATCCTCCAAATCTGCTCCGAAAGCGAAGGATGTTGGAACAGAAAACAGGCAAGCCGCTGGAGACATCCCCACAGAACGGCCGCGAAGGGGACCGTGAGATAACCATTGGCTGCTCCCCTAAGGGGGGTGAAAATTAGCGCCTCGCTCGAGACATCCTCTAAATCAGCTCCGATAGCGAAATATGTTGGGACAGAAAACAAGCAAACCGCTTGAGGCATCCCCACGAAACGACCGCGAACGGGGCGCGCGTGAGTCTCAGCATGAGTAAGTCTGAGTCGGAGCAGGTCTGAGTATGAGTAGGTATGAGTATGAGTAGGTATTTGTGTGTGAATATGTGTCTGAGTTAGTCTGAGTGTGAGTCAGTCTGTATATGAGTAAGTCGGGGCATGAGGAGGAGAGGGCAGGAGAAGAGTAAGAAGGTGTAGGAGGCGTCCAAGTAATAACAAAAAACCATCTTAGGATATGGCGAAAATGCAAACTGCACCAAACCCTCGATGGGGATTACCCGTCTGACATGCAACGCCATCCGCGCGGGGCGAACATCACGCGGTGATAACGGACTGGGGCCACCGTCACACTGTAAAATCCAACCCGCGAGCTCCCATCGGGGCATCCAGGCGCGCGGCGTTACCCCTGCTGACAGCACGCCCTGGAAAAAAAAACAAAAAAAAAAAACACGTCGCATATTTAGAATGAGGGCGGCTCGGCCATACCAATCGTCGCAACTGCTCCCAAATATGCCGCCCCCCCCCCATCGGCCCTATGTCATTCAAACGTCCTCTGCATTGATGCGAACTGCCATGGCGGCGCACACTGCCCCCAACGACGGCCGACACCGCTGAAGGTGATCATTTTTCATAGAGACAATCACGATGCGACGGCCCATGCGGCCCAAAATGATTCACACCAACCCGAGGACAATCCAAGAGCTCCCAAAAAATACCGCGCGCTGTCAGCGAGGATGCTTTTCGGGCGCCATCAAACTGATCAGACACAAGAAAATGAAAAGGAACGTCACGCTCTCGCCCTTTGGGTATTAGAGCGCTCGGCACCACCCGAAGAACCGCCCAAATCGCAGCAAAACGGCTGGAAAGGGCCAGAGGAAATTGAATGCGGCATGACCCCTCCTCTTTGTTATCTTCTACCCCCCGTCGTCCCACTTCGCCATCGTACTAATCCCCTGCCTCCTCACGTTACCCCCCCTTTCTCCTGTTATCTTCCTCCTCCTTCTCATCCTCCTTCGCCTTCGTCATCCTGGTGTTCTCCCACTCCCTCGCCCCCCTCAACCGCCCTCGTTATCCCTCCCCTCCCTTTCCCCGTGTCATCCACGCCTTCCGCCTCATCCTCCTCCTCCTCGCCGCATTGCCCCTTCCCCCCCTCATTCGCGCGCACCTCCCATTCCACGCTCGAGACATCCTCCAAATCTGTTCCGAAAGCGAAGGATGTTGGAACAGATAACAGGGACACCGCTTGAGACATCCCAACAAAACGGCCCCGAACGGGACCGTGAGATAAGCCCTGGCGGTTCCCCCTATGGGAGGGTGAGAATGAGCGCCTCGCTTGAGACATCCTCCAAATCTGCTCCGACAGCGAAGGATGTTGGGACAGGAAACAGGCAAACCGCTTGAGACATCTCCACAAAACGGCCGCGAATGGGACAGTGAAATAACACGTGGTGGTTTCCGTCAGGGGGGGCTGAAACCAGCGTCCCGCCTGAGACATCCTCACAGTCTGCTCTGGTAGCCAAGGATGTTGGGACAGAAGACAGGCAAACCGCTTGAGGCGCCCCCGCAAAACGGCCACGAACGGGGCGTGCGTGAGTCTCACCATGAATAAGTCTGGGTGGCGATGAAGATTATGCATTCACGCAGGAGGATATCGATGGGCTCGGACAAGACCCTAAATTCTTGGATACATTTATGCTTTCGCCAGGCCCGCCGACGTGCCAGGATCCATGCTGGATCAAGGTTCACGTGGCTGCGCCGCCTCATTTGGGCGTACCCCTCACACGTTTCGTGGTCTCAAATGGAGGTCCACCGAAGGCCCCAGTGGCATGGCCCCATGGCGGTACCGCCCATGCGGGCGCACCCCTCGCACGGCTCGCGGCCCCGCGTGGAGCTCACTCGAGGGCCCCAGTGGCAGGGTCTACATGGCGGCTGCGCCCCATTGGGGCGCACCCTTCACTCGGTTCGTGGCCCCGCGTGGAGTACCACTAGAAGCCCCATTGGCGTGGTCGACATGGCGGCGCCGCCTCATCTTGGCGCGCTCCCCGCGCAATCGTGGCCCCATATGGTACCCGCAGCAGCATGTGGTTGGTTATTTCGCCAGGCCTATTTTTGTCCTGGTCCTGACAGGCCTTTGCGGGGCCCCTTGGGGCGACCGCGGGGGCTCTTTGAGTTTCTTGACGTGCGCGGCCGCCCGATTTCAGGCGCAAGGGAGTTGAGTTGCGTCGCCTGTTTCCTGCGTCACGCGCGGGGCGGACTTCATGAGCACTGTGCCCACAGAGCATCCTGCGTACGCCTGTGCTGCTGGCATCGAGATTACAGATTGGAGGCCAAAGGTGCCGTGATCACTTCGGCGCCCCCTGTGAGTGGATCCGTCGGGACACGTACTCCACGAGCAAATGTCTATTCCCGTTCGTCATCTGCTCTTGCCGCCCCCCTCGCCCCCTCCGTGTTGTTCTTGCCTTGCCCTGGTTCGCGTTCCTTCTTGTTATCCTTCTGCGTTTTGCGCGTGCGCCCTTGCTGCCACATGACCCGTCTGCCTCCCTGCATCTATGCATTGCGGGCGGCGCCCAGCCGACAAAAGAAAACGATTGCCCCGACATAATCGGCCGACAAAAAACCAAACCTCCCCGACAAAAAAAACAAACGACAAAAACAAATCGGCCCGACAAAATGGGCCGGCAAAAAAAAGAGGCGGCCCGACAAAAAAAAACGACGGGCGCGACAAAAAAATCGGACCGACCCAGGAAAGTGTCGCGACAAATTCGTTCCTGGCTGTCGCTGCCGAGCGGATTCAGTGTAAATTCACAGTTAGGATGCACCCCCCGGAAATTTAGTTCGACGGTCCGGGTGGGCATTTTGTCGGTCAGTTTGGTTGGGCTGTTTGTCGGGGCGGTCTGGTGCGTCCACGAGGTCGTGCCGCGTTCGCCGGGCGATTCGCGGTCCTAGCGGGTTCGCAGTAGCATTATGCGGCGAGGGGGGGGTGGGGGGACATGGCGGCGCGGTGGGGGAGGGAGAGGAGGGGGAGGAAATTTGCAGGAGGAGGAGGAGGAGGAAGAATATGAGGAGGAGGAAGAGGGCGAGGGGACACGGTGGCGGGCACCCCCGCCTTCTTCTTGCTTGGTCCAGCCCTTCTGGGGGGTCGTCGTTCCCATAGGGAGCTCCACCGCAGATTTCGGCGGCACGGTCCACATGGCGGCGCCGCGCCATGTGGGCGCAGACTTGACACGGTCCGTGGCATCACATGGAGTTCGAGGGGGGGCCCAGCGGCAGGGCCCACATGGCGGCGCCGCCTTGTTTAAGCGCACGCATCATCACGGTTCGTGGCCCCGCAGGGAGTTCCACCGAAGACTCCAGTGGCAAGGTCCACATGGCGGCGCCGCTCCAGTTGGGCGTGCACTTCACACGCGGAAGTGGCGTTGCGACGCGCGGAGGTGGCATTGCCACCCCGCCTCCGCCGGAAACAATGTTAACAAATCGTGCGGCCAACAGCTCCGCTGACGGTGTTAACAAATCGTGTAGCGCCCAGTCTGTTCCAGACCAACAAATTCTTGACGCTTCGCGTATCCCCAACAGCCCATGCAGTAACGATGCCCAGGCGAATGGGGGTGATCAGGGAAGTGGGGGGCATACAGAATAACAAAAGGCTGGGGAACCCGTCTTACCCAAGACGGCGAGGATGGAGGATGAATCGGAGGACGATGAGGAGGAGGAACTCAAGGAGGAAAAGGGGGAGCGGGAGGAGGGTAGAGGGAGGAAGAGCAATAGGCGGATGAGGAGGAGGAGGAGGAGGAGGAGCAGGAGCAGGACGAGAATGAAAAGGAGGACGAGGAGAAGGGCGAGCAGAATGGCCAGAGGCCTCTTGGATGCCTCTCGGAGTCTCTTCGGGGGTCTCTTGGGGGCGTCCTGAAGGCCTCTTAGGGCGTCTTGGGAGCGTCTCGGCGGTCCCGGAGGCCTCTTGGGGCGTCTTGGGTGCCCCGGGGAGCCTCTCGGGGACCTCTTGGGGCCATGTTGGGGCCATCTTGGGGCCATCTTGGGGCCATCTTGGCGCCTTTTGGGGCCTCCTTGGCGCTTCTTAGGGCCATCTTGGAGGCGATCGATCAAAGAAGAGAGTGGGGTTAATTAGGCCTGCCCCTCTAGATCCTCTAAAATCGCCTCTTGGGCTCATCTCGAGGCGCTCTTGGAGCGCTCTTGGGCGCTCTTGGGGCCGTCTTGAGGCCATCTTGGGCCCCTCTTGGGGCTATCTTGGGCCCTCTTGGAGCCATCTTGAGGCCTCGGAAGGCCATCGGAAGCGAAAGGGTGAGAAAGCAACACGCATTGATGTTCCTTCGGTTTTTGAAGGATTTTGGCCTCTTGGAGGCCTCCTGGGGGACCTAGCTGGCCTCTCGGAGCCGTCCTGGGGCGGTTTTCGGGCCTACTGGAGCATCTTCGGAGCCGTCTTGAGGCATCTGAGGCTAGCTTCTTGAGCAATCTTGGAGCTCATATTGGGCTCCCCGAAGCGCTCTTGGAGCCATCTTGGGCCATCTTGGACGCTCCAACTACCAGCGAAGCCTCCCGTCCAGGTCCAGTGGAGGGGGTAGGGGGAGGGGTAAACCCCTCCCCCAAGGGGAAGAAAGGGGGTTGGAAGAGGAAACTCCCCAAACCACCTACGCCCAGAGGGCTGGTGGGACTGCGCGGCGCCCAGGTTGTTACCACATCGTGCGGCGCCCAGGTGTTCGCACATCGTTTCGCGCCCAGGGTGTTAACAAATCGTGCCGCCAAAAACCCCGCAGACGGTGTTAACAAATCCTCTGGCCAAGAACACCGCAGACGGTCTTCACAAATCGTGCGCCGCCCCGCATGCGGTCTTCACAAATCGTGCGGCTACAAACCCAGCGCGCGGTTCGTGGACCCACAGGGGGGTCCACCGAAGGCCCCAGTAGCATCGTCCACATGGCGGCGCCACGTCACATGGACGCACCCCTCACACGGTCCGCGGCCCCACATGGAGCCCCCAGTTGTATATGGTTGGGTTTTTCGCCAGGCTACGTTGTTTTTTTTTTGGTTTGGTGGCTGGGCGTTTCTTATCCGCGTTGTTGGGTTAGCCTGGTGGTAAGGAGCCCAGGGAAACAATTGTTAGGAACAGTTGAGGTTCCGCAGTGTTGTGGCGGATGATGAAGGCAACCTGCGGCATGACATTCGAGACATCAGAACCGCGATTCAATTGTCCAGGAAACTCGTTTTGGACAGTTGCGTTTTCACATCAGTTTTTTTGTTGCTGACATGTGGTAGACGCATGGTTTCGGACAGTTGAGGTTTGATAAAATGTCATTGGGTGCATTGGTGCACATGCTAATTTGCACACTGGCCCCGCATTGTCCCAGGTTTTGTGCTTGATAAAGGGGGGCATCGTGGCGCGTCCTCGCGTGGCCCTGCGTTCGTTTTCCGTCATTTTGAGGCCGTTCGGGGCCGTCATATGGGCCCCGTTGAGGACCTCGTTGGAAGTTTTTTGGGCGCTCGGAGAAATCTCGCGGCCCATCCGAAAATGCGGAAAACAAACGCGACAGATTTTTCAAACGTGGACACAAACGATGAAACATGCATGGCGTCGGCTTCTGTGGACCAGCGCGGGGGCCGCCCTTGCGGAGCTCTTGGGCCGCCTGGGCGGCCGCGGGTTGAGTGCTTTTCCTGTTCGCGGACTCCTTTCGAGACCGCCTGTGGGCGTCGTTTGATAATCTATGATGATTTATGGGCCGTCTTGGGGCCCTCTCCGACAATCGGGCGGTCTTCTGAGGGGTCGTTGGCCGTCTCGGAGTGGTCTTTGGGGACCTCGAAGGCCGCCCCGGGGCGCCAGGGAGCCCGAAAGGTGCGGACCTCCACATCTTGAATAGAATCAAGGATAGATCAATAGTATTTGTCTTTCGGTGCTATGGTGGGGGCCCTCGGATATCCTTGCGCGCGTTTGCGCCGCCTCGTGCGTCCTTCGTGGGTCTTGTCGGTGCGGAATCAAAGGATTAACTGGTCGCGGCGCGCCTTCTGGGATCCCCCAGGGGCCGTCGCGATGTCTTCCTGCGCCGCCGCGGGCGCCTCGCGGGCCGCCTCGGGGCCACGCGCGGCCGTCTCGGGGCCCGCTTTGGAACCTGTCGGGCAGCGTAGGGCCAACATTGGATTGGAACGCGCGGGGGTTGAAACGATCAAACAGATGGTTGTTGAGACGGGGCGGCTGTTGTGTCACTTATGCACGGCCGTGGCCTCGATGACACTAACCAGACGCATTGCGCGCGCCAAACGGGGTGCGATTGCATATCCTGTCGAACTGCAAGTACGTCATACGCCTTAGAGAACGTTGGAAATAATCCCAAATGGAAGCGCGAAGCGTTTTCACGCGCCTCTGCGTGCGAAAGCATGGTGGCGGCCTTCCTTTCCTTCCCCTCCGACCCCCTTCCCCCCCTCGCCGCGCTCTACTCTGCGTCCCCCCGCTGCGCCTCCGGCCCCCGCCCCGCCAAACCCTCCGCTCCTGCCCCCCCCCGCCGCCCCCGGCGCCCCCCCCCTCTGTTGCCATTTTGGATCCGACCATTCTGGCTCAAGTATTCTGGCTCCACAGAACCCTCTGCGTCGACGTCGTCTCCGCGGTGGGTCGACGCCCAGTGCGCAGGCTGCGCTGGCGCGCGCTGTCGGCCCTTCGGAACGCGCGCAGGCCCGCGGGGGCGCGCTCCCGCCTTGCGGCGTGCGCGCGTGCGCGCGCGAGCGGGCTTTCAATCCCTTCGTTGTGCGTCGCGTCTTGCGCTAATCTGCGCGGTGCGGACGTGCGCGGTCGACTGCGCCGCTTCTTGCGCCGTGCGGCGACGAGAGGATGTTTTTTTTTGTTGTCGCCGCCGTTCGAGGCGCCCATCAATTCCTGGCCGCTGCTCTTGAGTTCTGACCGTTCCCAGCGAGGGTGCCCAGCCTCATTGCTGACTGTTGGCGGTCGCGCTTCGACGCGCGATGCGTTTTTAGCGCGCCCTGAAAACCAGCGCCCGTTGCAATCCGATTCCATACCTCGCTGGTTTTTTTCCAGCTTGGGTTTGCGTTCGCGCCTTGCCGTGCGCGGGCGGCCCTACTCGCGTGATCGCGTCGCTTTGGATGCGCGGCGCGGTTTTCATTATGGTTTTGCGACCCCAAGAACTTTCAGAAGTGCGCCTGGCGACCTGCAAATTTGCACAGCCAGTTGCCATCGCGCCGCGACTTCTGGCGATGCCATCGCCCTCGAACGTGCGCGCGCGCACGTGCGAGCCACTGATTGTGGGTTAGCGCGCGCAGGCAAGCGCATCGCGTTGGCTTGTGCACTTTGCGTTCATCATGCGGTTGCGCGCTGTAGTGCCGCGTGGGGTTCGCGCGTGGTTGCGCGACCTCCAATGTGTCATTGAACGTAATGGCGCCTTTGATGTCGCTGTCGCAATGACACTTGCTCCAAGGTGTTTGTTCGATGTATCACCGCTGCCGCTGTCATTGGCGCAGCGGTTCCTCATCGCAACGTCGCGATTGGCAGGCAATTCGGTCCGCGCCCTTTCGCGCCAACCGCTGTGATCGTGGTGCCCATCGGGGCTTCAGTCTGCAGCGAGGAGCATCGCGCGGGCGCTCGCGTTCTCGCGTTCAGTCAGCCGCGATTGGTCCAACGCTATACCGAGCATTTTGCGATTAAACGTTTAATTTTTTGAATTGCGTTTTGTCGTCAAAAGCTTAGCCAGTAGAATGGCACCACTGAGGAGTGCAAAAGCTGACAGGCGGGCGCTCGCAAACCAAGTGGACTTGGCCAGCGGCGCCCGCACGCGCGTGCTTCCGGAAGCGCAAAAGCAGAGAGGCGGGCGTGCGCAACCCAACTGGACTTCGCCAGCGGCAACCGCACGCGCACCCTCGCGAGCATGCAAAAGACGTGGGGCGGAGCGCTGGGGGGAAGCCCCCGGCGCTGCCCGCGCGCCCCCTCAGGGCGAAACTGGAGAGCCGATTTGCCCAAGAAGTCTGCGCTTCTGGAGCGGGAGCAGCAAGGCCCACGAATTCAGACGGACCCAGTCCGCGGGGAGCACCTCGTCCACGGCAACCGCACCCATCGCGCGGACATCCGCCAGCAAGGCGTCTGCCTGCGCGCGGGGTATGCGCGCGTCGGACATGAGGTCGTCGAAGCCGCTCACAGGCGGCACGCCCGCGTCTGCCCCGACCGGCGCAGCGGGCGCCGGGCGGAAAACGCCGACGGCGTCGAACTTTGCCGCCTCCCGGACGATCCACGCGGTCATGCACGGAGCACGCGAGAGCACGTCCTGCAAAGAGCCGTCCGACAAGACGGAGGTGAATGGGAACTGCCTCACGCGGTTCTGCATGTGCCGGATGTCCTCCGCACCCACCTTATTCGTCGTCTCCCAGAGGCCCTCCAGCTTGCCCGTGAAAACGGCGCCGCGGTTCCAGCAGACGTCCTTGTTCCCGTCGTTGAAGGACTGGGAAACCTGGATCTCGGTGTGCTGGCCGACGAACAGAGACAGGAACAAAGAGACGGGGGCGGTCTTCTCGTGGGCGAACTCAACCGGCCGGAAGTCGTCCCAGAAGATGAACCGCTTCGTGCCGCTGGCCAGGTTCCGGAGTCCAAAGGAGGAGCCCAAGGCAGGCTTGTGCAGAACCCGTTTCGGAGTGAACAAGTCGTCGAAAGGGTAAACCACCGTGCTCTTCCCGGAATTCGACGGCCCCACCAGGAAGGGCACCCTCGTCGTCTTCTTCGGGCCGACCATCAGAATGTCCCGCAGAGGCGCCGCGAGCTCCCGAACGTCGAAAGAAGCGGCGTTGCGGGAGAAGATGGTCTCCACGGCTGACCTGTACGATCACGCCGGGCCATGGGGACATGTCTCCTCAGCGCAGCGGCACACGAGCGTCCAATCGTCCACCGCCTCGAAGGCCGCGTTCTCGCGGGCAGACGCCCACTCCTTCGTCTCCTCAAGGTCCGCCGTCAGCTTGCGCACTCGGCTGCGGACGAACCGCTGCATGGCCTTCGTCCCGCGGTCCTGGACGTACGCCATCAGACGCGCGGGCAACGCGTTGCACGATGTTCTGGACACGCGTGCAAACGACATGAAGCCGCAATGATACGCTGGCTGTGTCCCGCGCGGGCCTGCACTAAGGCAAACGCGCGTAAAGCGCAGGAGTCGCGAGCACCGCAGGGCCCTCGCCATGGGCAGTCGAGCACCTCCCGAAAGGCAGGGATGGAACAGTAGCAGCACGGCTACGATTTTCAAGTCCACGGATCCACGACACGTTTCTCGGTGCATGCGCTGCGGCAGGAATTCTGAAATCTCTCGGCGGTCACTGAGGAAAAATCCGCTCTGGCAGAGGCCGAGCCGCCGATTCGGCTGGCTCCCCGGCCGCGGCTGGAAAAATTGCGTCGTGGCAAAGACCGCGCCGCCGACTCGGCTGATCAGCGCCAACGCTCCCGGGCCGCAGGCTCAATCGCTCGGGATCCTGCCTCCCTCGGCCACGACGACCTCCGCCGCCTTCGTCTTCATCTTAGCCACGGCTGCCCTGATGACGCTCTTCGGGATGCCCATGGCGACGCGCCTGAGGCGCGCCTTGTAAGCGCTCTGAGACTCGTTGGCCGGCGCGCTCTGCGCTGCCATTCGCCGGTTGACCTCCGCCCAGAGGAAGTAGTCGAGGGGGTTCAAGTCCGGGGAATACTTGGGGAACTTGATGGGGGTGATCTTGAGACCCCGCCTAAGAGCGACCGGGCGGGGTCGACCGGGGCGCGGGCGGCGGGCGATCAAGAGCGGGCGCCGACTGGCGGGGCGATCGCCAGACGGGGCCCGACTCGAACTCGCGGCCGCCGCGGTGGCGCGCCAACTAAGGGGGCCGCTTGCAGCCAACGGCCTTCTTGCTCTTGTACCCCGTGGGGTCGTTATCCTCCAGGATGCGGAAGGCGCGGCGCCCCTTCCGGCAACGGCGAAGCGCGGGAGCGAGGACGCCCGCGTAGAAATCGCAGGCTGCGTCGGCGCACCACAGGGTGGGCAGGTAGTGCCAGACGCGGACCTTGTTGTTCACGATGGCTGCGGCCACGTGAACCTTGGACCTTGGCGCCTGGGTTCACCCTGTTCTGGTTCCCCTTCGGCTTCGTGAAAGGCTTGAGGACCTCGGGGGAGGGCCCGGCCAGCCGGCCCCCCGCCCGGCCCCCACCCCCCGCCCCTCGCATCCGAAAGAAATTACGCCAATAAGAACCCTCATACCAGAAAGAAACGACGCCAAGAAAAACATGTCCGATCGCCTGGACGGGGCCGATCAGACCCGATCAGACTTGGATCGCAGACATGGATCGGGGCAACGATCGGGGGCGGAATCGGCATCTCGACTTCGTCGGCCCGGCGGCCCCCGCCCCCAGCCCCTGGGATCGCACTCGGGACCGAGAGTCGCGCCCTCTCTGCCTTGGTGCGAAGGTGGCCGCGAACGCGACTCTTCTTTGCGTGCGTCTTCGCCCGCTTGGTCATGGGGATGGGGAACACCTTATTGTCGATGATGGCATCGACCTGGTGCGTGAAATAGTTGCCCGGGAGCCGCTTCCACCCCGAACACACGGCCACGCGCTCCTCCGCCTCCTCGGAGCCGCGGAGCGGCTCCGCGCGGGGAGCGCGCCAGGTGACCCCGAGGCGCTTGAAGTGCCTGGAGGCCGTGCCCTTGTGGACGTCGGAGACCCGCGCGGCCTTCATCACGTCCTTGAGGTGAACCTCGGCCTCGCCCTTGGCCGCCCGAATCAAACGAACCCGCGCGTTGTTCAAGGCGCGGAGCTTGACGGCCGTGAGCTTGGGCTTGCGGCCGCGAGTCCCCGCTGGGCCACGCCTGTGCGTGGCGCCCCGGAGCGCCCCGGAGGGCCCGGCGGACGGTCGTCAAATCCGACTCGCCTACACATGTGCTTGCCGCCAGCTGGAGCTCTTAGGGACCTGGGCGTCAACGCTGTGTCCGTCACTGGGAGTTTGTCCTCTCCGGGCCATATTGCGTCCTCTCAAGGCCGGTTTGAGCTGTTGAGGCCGTCTTGGGGCGTTTGAGGGGCCTTGGCCGTCTTGGGTTCTCTCCTGGGGCCCTCTCGGGGCTCTTGGGGGGCATCTGGGCCCCAGCGGCGTAGAGCGAGAAGCAGCGGTCGAGCTCCCTCTTGCTGAGGTGGGGCGCCATCTGGGCCCGCGACCGAAAAAGGGGTCAGATGGCCTCGGGGCGGGGCGAGGCCGTTGCTGCGGTGACGACTGAGCCGAAACAGCTGCGCCAGGTGAACGGAAGGCTAGTCGATGTGACCGGAGCACGCGGCGGCGTTCATAGTCTGGCGTCGCTCTTGACGCCGCCCTCAAGACGGGCGGCTTCGGGCAGCCTCGAAGTCCTTGCAGGGCGCCAACGGGAGAGCGCAACCCGTTGGGCAGCGGGGAGGGGGCCAGTCTTGCAACGCAGCCCATGCAGATGCCCGTAGCCGAAGATGCCATGGCAAATGAGTCCGCCGTTTGCGAAATAAACGCCCACGTGTGGAAGTACTAAGATCCCCGCCCCGCGCCCCGCATTTCAATGTTGGCCACCGAACACGCCGAAGGGGAGTGCGAAGCGTTGCGAAATAAACGCCCACTTATGTTGGACTGCCCAGCCCTCCCCGTCAACCTTGAAATACGGGGGAAAAGGGGCGTGCTTCGTCGTCTTGATTTCGATCCCTAAGATGGGCGTTTGATTCGCAAGCGGCGGTAGGTCCACTCGACGCTGCAGGGACATGCACTATTGCATGACAGACAACTTCAGGCATGGGGGCACATATGCGCTAAGTACGGCTTGCCCTCGATGAGGTGCCGCCCCATGGCGACATAGTCGCCCTCCTAAGTCACGTCCCAGCCGGTCACCTTGTCGAGGTTCCGACCTTCTCTGAATCCCGACCTCGTAGCGACTGGCACGATCCGCGGTGGGGGTAACAGTTCAGCCACCATCCTCCCGGCCTGTGGGCTCCGGCCTGGCCATAATTATTGAAAAGTTGGTGGGTCTATGGCCTGTTCCTTCTCCTTGAGCATCCTCTGCACGCGCACGGACGACGTGCATGGCTGCGTGCAGTTCCTCTTCTCACGATTCAGCAAGTCGATATCATAATGTCTTGCCGCTGTCTCATTCAGTGGTATGGTCACATTGAGCTGCTTCACGTACATCGAGTCCGTCTTGAGGTCGATCGCCGCCCCTGGGGCCTTCAGATCAGGCTTGCTCATCAAGAAGCTGGCCGAACTCGGCACCACGCACACCAGAAACATTACCTTCAAACATTTGCCGAATCTGTCCAGCTCCATTGCACCGATCGGTTCCTGCACGCTATTGTCGACGCCGCGGAACCGCATCGGCTTCACGTCCTTCAGTTACGTCCTTCAGCCACCTCGCTTTCTGGCCCGTCGTGGCCTTGTGTTTCACCAACGACACCGCGCCGATCAAGGGCCCGCACTTGCAGCATCCCGTGCCTGGCACCGAGCATCCGTCTGAGTGGGTCAGTCCCAGCACCGTACCCTCAACCATGGCCTCCGCCTCGGGCACCGTGCCTGCCTTCTCCTCGTCCTCCTGGTTCTCCTTCATCTCGTGCTCTGGCCTCTTCCACCTCTCCTCCTGGATGAGCCTCGTCAGCACGTCGTCCTCGCGAGCCTTCGGAATGCTGCTGATCTCGTCGTCCAGGTCGTCCTCCCCCTTGATCTGCACTTGCTCGTGGATCTCCTGCACGGCCTGGCCCAGCACCCCGCCGCCGTCAATCTCGACGGGCCCCGCGATCGCCATCTGAGAGCTGTGGGCTAGATGCTCCCTGCAGTCTCTGATGTCCGCCCCCTCATATTCCTCCTCCTCTTCCTCCTCCTTGCCCTCATCTTCCCCCTCATTTTCCTTACCCTCCTCTTCCTTCTCCTCCTCCTCCTCCTCCTCCTCCTCCTCCTCCTCCTCCTCCTCCTCCTCCTCCCCCTCCTCCTTCCCCTCCTCCTCCCCGAGTGGCCAATGCTCTTGCACCCGAAGCACTTCACGCGTCGCCCAGACTTGTCCAGATCCTGTCGTGCCAGTCCGCCGACGCCGCCCCGCCGCAGCCTCCACCCCTGGCATCCGTCCTTCGATCCAGCCGCTCCCTGTTCGTGGCCGTTCGCGCCTGCTTCCACGTCGCCGAGATCTCCACGGCATCCGACTCCTCGGTGGGCCCCGCCGCGCCCAGAAGCAAATGTTTTAAGGATGGCTCTACCGGAGTTGTCGATCTGGCGCATTTGCGGACCACTTTAAATACGTCGGAATTCGATGTGTTGGGGGGTGGTTTCCTTCGAACTGGTGTGCGTGTGTGTGTTTTTCAGGGCGACGTCCAAAATCATTGAACACCACTGTTCGTTGAAGGCTGTATGTTAAGATGCTGAAGACCCCGTGTGCTTTTGAACTATGGCGTCACGATCTGTGTGAGAGGGGCGCCCGTTTTTCCTAAGTGTGAGGATGCCTCGCGCGAAGCTACCAACACCATAGCGAACGGGACGGCTCCGAGTAGTCGCTCCTGTTCTCTACTTCCTCGGAGTGGCGCGTATGAGAATTTGTTTGTTGAAATGCAAATGCAATAAACAAGCGAACAGCAACCATAACAAACGCTTGAGACTGCCCGCTATTATACCACCGCGTGCCTTTCAACAAGTACATCCCAAACCCTCGATGCCCGCACGCCCCCTTCGCTTTCGACTGTAACTGCGATCATTGTGGGTCCACGATCATGTGAAGTGTTTTGTTGTCACACGTTCGCGTGCCAGTCAACATGTACCCCCCCCCCCGAGCCCCCAGTACCTCCCCTCTTCGTCTTCGATCGCCCCCCCTTAGGGTGATATCGTTCTTCCCTGCCACGTGTAGTTGGCGCAGCCCAGAAGACAGGACCACCATACACATTGGCAAAGTGCGGTTACGGAAGGGGGCAAGATTGAGGGAGAGATGGAGGACGAGAGTCATTAGCAAGAGGGCCTGGCAAGAGAGAATGGCAAGGACGGCTCAGGCGAGAGCGCGACTCTTGAGGAAATGCCGGGGGAGTCACAGCAAACATCAGTTGAAGCTTGTTCGGTTTTACGTCATCATTTGCTGTACACCCATTGGGGGTACATTTTCTTTTCCTCACACGTACAGTTGGCGCAGCTCCTAGAACATAGAGGGGGGGAGGGTGGATGGAAGGGGCATGGGAGGGGTGGGGAAGGATGGAGAACAAGAGAAAGATTGGCAGTCGTGGCGGTTAGGGCCAGGAAAACAAGCGGCAGAACCAGGCGGGCGGGTCGGGCGGGCGGACCCTAACGGACGGGTGGGGTGGGCGGGCCCAGACGGAAGTGTCGAACGGGCGCGTCGTTGAAGCATCAGTCTTGCATGCATCGCGAGGAAGTCGAGCGATAGCGCGATTCCCAAATACAGCGTTCGACCCTTGAGTGTCGAGGACGCGGCATGTCAATGAATTGGGAGGAGGTCCCACGCGAGAGCGCGCTTTCTGTATACATTGTGGGGAAGTCCCGCGCGAGAGCACGATCTTGAAGACATCCTGCGTGCGTGCCAGGTGGGAGCAGCTGTTGTTGTTGATGGTGATGATGATGTTGTTGTTGCTGCTATTGTGGATGTGGTTACTGTTGTTGTCGTGGGTGTTGAACATTCGACTCTAATTCAGAATTATTGCTGATATCTTGAAACGCTTCCGCGCGCTCTCGCCTCGACGCTGGCTACATTTTCTTGGGAAACGAGGCTCCCGCTCGAGCGCTGGCTTGAGCCTAAATGTGTGCCCCTGGAGGCCCAGCTACGACAACAACGGCTCCCGCTCGATACTTCCTCAACTTACCCCGGGACACCCTGGCCAGAGAGGCCCCCGAACTCAGGAACGGCGCTCTCGCTCGAGACTTACCCGCAATGAAATTAAGTTGGCGGAGGCCCAGCCACGACGACAAGGGCTCCTGCTCGATACTTCTTCACGATTTACTCCGAGAGCCCCTGGCCAAGAAAGCTCCCGAACTCAGGAACGGCGCTCTCGCTCGAGACTTTCCCGTAATTCAGGCAAGTTGGTGGAGGCCTGGACACGGCGACAAGGGCTCCCGCTCGATATTTCTCCATCTGTATTCCCAGAGCCCCTGGCCAGAGAGGCCCCTGAACTCAGGAACGGCGCTCTCGCTCGAGGCTTCTTCGCACTCCAGTCAGTGGCCGGCAAGGAAGAGATTCGTCCCGAAAGGGGATGCAATCGAAGACGAAGTGGGCGGGTATCGAGGGTTGGCGTATACGGAATGCAAGACACGCGTGCCAGTAAGAGCGAACAGTCTTAAAATGATTGTTGTTGTCGTTGATGGTGCTGTTGTTGGTGTTGGTGTTGTTGCTGTTGTTGATGGTGTTGATGTTGTTGTGGCTTTCTGCGGGCGAACACAGCTTTCTGAGGCGCGATCGCTTCCCTTGTAAGAATCTGGGTGCGAGCCCCAGGAGGGGCACGTTGCACGGGAGGGGGGGACCAACAAGAGCTATGTCTCAGACTGTTCGGGATCGACGGACCCAGTCGGAAGACCAAATATTCTTCCTCGTAACAGAAAGGCTGCGAGCCCCTGGGAGGGGCCTTTCCATTGAAAAACCGCAGTGGTCCCTTGAGGGCAGGGGTGAACAATAATCTTTCGTCAGGCGCGGGAAATCATCCACAACACCAATCATAACTTTCTGATTGCTCGTTGTCATTGCCTCGCGTGCCAGTCAACATGTTTATCCCAAACCCTCGATGCCCGCCCTCCCCGTCTTCGATCATAACGCATTGGGGGCACATCTTCCTGACCTGCCACGTGCAGTCGGCGCAGCCCCTCAAACAGTGGAAGGGAGTAGGCAAAGGA